GGGTGGAGAGGGAGGTGGGAGGGGGGACCGGGATGGGGAATACATGTAAATCCATGGCTAATTCATTTCAATGTATGACAAAAACCACTGCAATGATGTAAAGTAATTAGCCTCCAACTAAAAAAAAAAAAAAAAGAAAGAGCATCAGCAGGCACCCTCTGTCAGGATCCGGGGGCCCACGGAAGGGGCTGCACCCCACCTCCATCTGTTTCAGGGCCTGCATGGCTTCCATCCCCTCAAGCTGCCTGCGCTCCGCATGCAGAGGACCACTCTCTGAATCCTGCCTGGGCCATGCCTCTATCACTATGGCAGGATGAAGGACCATGTGGCACACAGCCCAGACGAGCGTGCACAGACACGGCAGCGTATAACTCCCCATGTTAGCTGTGCCTCCACCCAGATTCTTACCACGAGAGCCTTTAAAACACCTCTGATAGGAGAATGAGCACAGCCGCTGCTGTCCCTTAAAATGCTTTCTTAAAGTCGACTTTGCTCACTGACATCTAGTACTCCTATTTTCTTAGTCAAAAATGTTCAACACACAATAGACAGCACAAGAAAGGGCTGAAGGTTATCAGGCCCCACTTCTGCATAAGTAAATGTCCTAGACATACGAGGGACTCATGGAGGTGTTGAGAACTAGGAGCTGGGAGGCCTGCAAAGCGCCCCCAACAATTGTCACCCTGCAATGCACAGGAGACTATAGCCTTTTTTAATTAAAAGTTTTACTTAGAGGAATGATAGAAGTGCATCATAGTAAAATAGAAAATATACTTAGACCTAAAAAAAAAAGGTATTACCCATACCTTTAAGAGTTTCTTACTTACCATAATATACTAAAACTACTGACAGTATTTTTAATGAGCTGATAACATTCCTGGTAGCAACTACCATTTATGAAGTACTTACTTGATAAATTCCTCTTGTTGTCTTACACAAACTTGGTAAGTAAACTAATGCAACATCATGTTAGGTAGAGATTATCCTCATATTAGAGATTAGGAAACTGAGGCTCAAAAAGATGAAACAGGCTACCCAAGGTCACCCAGTAAAGAGAAGTCAGAATTAAAAACCTCTACAATTCATAACCCACATGCCTGTCTTCTTCGTCTTCTGCTGATTCCTAATCACTAGCAACACTGGGGAAGGGAGAGGACCCTTTCTGCTCCTTTTTAGTTTTTATAAAATACATTTCAGTATTCTAGTTTTTAAAGTATGTGATAATGGTGGACTGAATCTGTCTTTTGTTCTTAGTTGAAGTTTCTGAATATTTTGAAAAACTGATAGGGAATTGTTAGGAAAAAAGTCTTCTAAGACACTTTCCATAAAGCCCCATTTTTATTCTCCTCATCTATATCCAGGCTCAATCTTTAACCCCAAAATTCTCTTATCTCAAACCCAAGAACAGTATCAGACTTTTGGGATAGTGTCTGTTACAAAAATATTAATTGCTGAATGTTTTTTTTGAAACTATCCAAAGTGGAATACTTTGTAGACTGAACTCTAATGAAATGGCCTCTTACTGAACTAATTTAAACAATGATCCCATCTTTGTATCATTTCAATGCACTTTAGACACAAGTTACCAGGCAAAGAGGGCTAACTAACCTCCACAGGTCAGGCTCAAAGTCCACACCAAAAATGTCTCTAAAGTGAAACTTTCTAGAGAAACTCTCCACAGAAGGAACCCTACGTCCTACAGAACAACGTATAGCTTTGTTTTAGTTATATTAATTCCAGAACCATACTAAGACTGTTATTTAAAATTCACTGTTGGGTTCTTTCAGGGGATTTTACACTGCAATCTTGCAGCAACCCCAATCATATCAAACAGGCCAAGGTCATCCAGAGAGCCACAGGACTGTGGGAAAGACTGCTGTCAGACCCCGGCCCTCCACTCAACTTGGGAGGAAGGCTCACGTTTTAGGAGAACTGGAGGATGCCCCTGAGAAGGGTGGCAGGCTGGCTTACGTCTTCATCATGAAGGGCTGCCAGCAAATTGACAGCGGGTTGGTTCACGCGACTCAGCCTCTGAAAAGAGCCCCGCAGGCTCCCGAGAGGGACAGTTCAGCAGCCAGCATCAAATCCATGCATGTGGGCCTGGCCAAGTGAACTGGTTCAAGTTTCACTGGTTGGTTTGCTTGTTTTCACTTCTGTTTGCTTACAAACTTAAAAACAAGCTACCTAAACACTGCTGCCACAGAGAACCTCCCAGACTGGAGGTCAGCTGCTCCACTGGGTCATCAGAAGACCCTGCAGGGACTCCGGGCAGCATGCTGCGAAGGAGCCGTGTAAATACCACCCCCGCCCCAGTCTGTTAAAGTAAGCTCAGCAGCAGGACACCCCTGCGCCCCATGTCTTACCATGCAGTTCATGGCGAAGTGGTTGTGTTGGGTCTGGAGCTCCATGGCGTGAGGGTGGCTGGTGCCAATCTCGGTGTAGCTGTTCAGAAACAGGCCCTTGTTGTGTGTGATCCAGTCAAACATCTACCGGGATGAAAAAAGACAACCTGGGATCACTCCCGAGAAAGGCCTGACACAGGCCCAGGAACCGGACCAAACCAAGAAAGGGCGGTGTCCTTTCACCGACAACCCCTGTGGCGCTGGAGCCCAGAAGACTCTAGACAGCTACCAAGTCACAGTTCTGAACATGCAGGAGCTACTAGACAATCTTACCTAGGGTGCTCCTTAGACAGATGAGGAATTAAGAAGTAGATACGTCGTAAGGAGAGGTCATTCAGATCCCCCAGGCTGATTAAAACTCCAATCTTCTGACTCTCTGCTATGCTGAACCACATAATTAGCCACAGTGCTCTTCAATTAGAGACCCGTTAGATGAAATTACAAACTTACAGGTCTCTGGATGGGTTTTGCTCTGCCCACAGATTACTGATGGCAACTTCAATAACTAAGAGATTATGCTCTTTAATGCAAGAAGAATTAAAAAAAAAAAATTCCTGTGCAAACAATAAAATTTACCATAAAAATAAAAAGAAATGGGGAAAACCTTAACAATGACATCTCTCTTAAGATTCAATACAGATGCTACCTGGAAAAGGATATTAACTACATTGTTCCCAAGAAAACATTTAAGGGAAAAGAAATGATTGTCAATTAACGCTGCTTCCGTGATGTGAACAGAACCTAGGGACAGTCACCTGCTCGCTGAGTAACTGAAAGGAAGATTTTCTAGCATCTCTGACAAGGCACTACAGCTGAACCTTGAACAACCTGGTTTGAATGCACGGGTCTACTTACATGCAGATAAATGAAGTATCTGTAATTTTCAATAAATGAAAAACCTGTATTTTCATTTTACACGTCTTTAAGTGTGGCAAAAAGCTGTGTTCAACTGGAGATCACAATATATGGAATCAAAAGAACTGAGGACTGGAGCCTTGATTCTACCAAACTGTTTCAGCTTCTCATCCTTGGGTGAGTCATTTATCAACTCCTTTGTTTTAGAGGCAGAGAGCACAGTTCCTGGATTTTCAACTGCATGAGGGTCAACACCCCAACCCCCATGCTATAAGGTCAACTTAAACAAATAGAGCTTAGAAGCTTACCAAATAATAGTACGGGATAATAGGGCTGGACTATCACCTTTCAAAAGATCCCTTTATATCAAAGACTTTAATAGACTTTCTTAACTTTATAAATATTTTCCTGTCCTTGAAAAGAATTCAGTGAGCTTAGATTAACACAGATCAATCCACCCACATTCACGGCTTGCAACCCTTTCCTCTAAGTAAGTGTCCTGTTTTCACGTTGCTGAGACAGACAAGAGCTCATTCTGACCTGCTGGTTTGACAGGAAACCGTAAGTAATTACTGCCTGTTATTTCCCAGAAGCTATTATTCTTAATTCATTATTCGCCTTTTATTGTGAAAACAAATTCAATAACGGATCTGAAGGGTGTTTTCTCACTGGCTTTTCTGGGTGGAAGAGCAAGTATTACAAAAATACATGCATAATTACTGCTTTCACTCTTTTAACTGAAAATATCCGCACCTATCTTACAGTCATTTTAAACCAGACCATCAGTAATTAACCACTCCAGGTTTCTAGAAGAGCCCTGCACGCGCGATGAGAGACGCTGGGAAGCAGACTGAGGGGAGAGCTCTGAACTGACACTGCTGGTCTCTGACCCAGGCCATGTGGGTGGCTCGCCCCTCCCCAGCCCTTTCTTCCCTCCCTTTCTCCCGACCAAACCGGCCTCGGGTGCTCAGACCCAGCGACCCAGGCAGCCTCCCTCCAGGAAGCACTGTAGCACCCCCCGCCCCATCGGCTACCTTCTCAGCATCCTGCTCGAACAGCCTCAGCTGAAAGCACTGGTCCAGCTTCAGCTTGCGCACGTGCCACATCTGATGCAGATGCTGCCGCGTCGAGTGCAGCCGGTCCAGCATGGCGGACACCTTGGGTAAGAGGCTCTGCAGGTCTGCGTTGCCTGAGCCAGAGTTCTTTTTGGGAAAGCTGTCGCTGCTCTGAATCCTCTGCAGCAGCTTCTGTCCCTCTAGGTCCAGGTCCTCTATGGGGGCCTTAATCACCTTCTTCTTCAGCTGGGAATGCTCCTCAATCATGTTCCGCGCCCCCTCCAAATCTTGGGGCAATTCCTTCTTGGCGAGGATGTCCTGGAGCTCCTCCAGCCGAGAGAGCATGTGGGTCGCGTTGCTAATATAGTCTTCAAAAGCAAGTCGGATCTCAATCCATTCTTCGTGGTTGTACTCCAGGCAGCCGTCAAACTCGGGCGTTAGCTGAGAAGGATCAACTACTTTGGTAAGGCCTTCTAAAGAGACCATATTTGTCTTAAGGGGAAAGAAAATCACGTGTGAGAAGATGAACCTGTCTTACGTGGTCTTATCATAATGCTTAACCACATTGTAACGCTTAACCACAGATTTTTAAACTTGAAGCAAGTAATCCACTTATAGAAAACATAACATACCTTGTGCTGGCCCCATTAAAACAAATGTAAATGAAAAGAAGCATTAGTACACTCAGTGAAAGACAAATTCATTAGAGCAACACATGGCTGTTAGTTGGAAAACCTAAAATAATAGAATCATAAATTTCATGACAGCTAAAGAAAGTCAATTTCTTTCCAAGAATGTGGAAATTAACTCACTACGTTAGGCACACTGGAACGTGAGCGACTTTTTAAAAATTTAGAAAATGCTCAAGGGTTAGCAAGAAAGCTGGCAGAGCCCTTCTCACAAAGCTGGAGAGAGAACAAATGTTTCATTCACTTGCAGAGATCCATTGTGACTCTAAGCAGCACAGATTTTTGTTTAATTTTTTTTTTTTTTGATGTGGATCATCTTTAAAGTCTTCACTGAATTTGCTACAATATTGCTCCTGTTTTATGTTTTGGTCTTCTGGATTCAAGGCATGCGGGATGTTAGCTCCTCAACCAGGGATCGAACCCGCACCCCCTGCACTGGAAGGCGAAGTCTCAACCACACACGGCTTGCACATCACCTACATAACAATCTAACGCTCACGAGGCTCCAGCCAATTACAACCTAGGCGAGGAAGCTTCATCTCAGCCTAACAGAGTGTGACGCAGTTAATGTTAGTTATGGTGCCTCAAGGAAAACGTAAGGAAGGGGAGTTAAAGATGAAGACAAAGGAAAAGAGAAAAAAAAATGTGGCCTAGAACCAAAAGATAATACAAAGAAAGGCTTATGTAGCCCCAGCTCTGTTACCTCTAGTCTTAGAGAAACCTACAGCTGCGTCTCTGTGACGTTTGACCTAAGAAATGGCAAAAAGAGGCAGAGCTAGAAAGAGCGGTGGCTCCCAGCCCAGCACTTTAGCCTGAAATGTGACTGTAGGTTCATTTCTGTCTCATCTGCCCAGACTTTAAAAGCATCCATGGAGCAATTACTTCACGGACAGAAGCAGGTGATAACGTAGAGAGCAGGTCAACAGAAAAACCAGGGCAGGAAACTTTAAAGGCTCAGAGGGACACAGCATGGTGAAATGCGCAAACACCTACAGACCTTACACCAACAAACTGTTATGTCTGCTTAAAATGTGTATCATCAAATACAACACATTTTACATTCTGTGTCAAGAAAGAACTAATATCCGACAAACTGTCCTCCAAACTCACTTCGTCTTGTGTGTGAAGATAAAGGCTTACTGGTTTCACCTTTCACCTAAACCTCTTGAGTGTGGTTTCAAATTCAAAAACTACATGCAGATTTCAGGTTGCAAATCAGTACCAAGGAACCAAATTTTAAAATGCAATTTGTGTATGCATGAAAAGATTCTGAAAGGTGTAACATGTAACATCAAGCTTAAGAATTAATATTGTGTGATATGTTTAATACTAGTATTGTTGTTAACCTGAAAATACATGAATATGCTCACTGCAACCTAATGTTTGGGCAAGTGGCTAGATGAACCATCTAGTCAACTAAAAATTAGCATTTATAATTAGGAAATATTTAAATTTTATTACACAATATGGCACGAATCAAGTTTCCAGCTGGCCAGAGTACTTTCTCCCCATTAATACTCTCATGAAACCAACTGCATCAGAGCCTTGTCAGAAGCCTGGGAGCCTAAGGAGAGGAGGTGCCAGGGGAAGGAGAGGCAGTCGGCAGGCTGAGGGCTGTTTTACACTGTCTGGGAGACAGTGACCTTGTGTGCTAACTGCACCCAGGGCTCCGCCCGGGGCTTAAAGGAATCGCTCCCTTTTCATAAATGAGAGACCTGATGTATGAAATACAGAGCAGATGGTTCACTCCAGCATTAATTAAGGATGTGATAAAAAGTCAGTCTCTCCCACACATCTCCTCAGGAACTCTGAGGTTGGGAATTTCTCCCTATCATTCCCTCATTTCCACGGCTGAGGTTAACAGTGAGGACTCGGAAGCCACCTAAAGCCACTGTGCTCAACAGTAAAGCTATTTTATCCCACAAAGTGAAGGGAAACAGGCTTCTAAGACACAAAGGTTACACCCCAGCAACCCCATCGCCCAGAGACAAGAGGCCTGGAACCTAAACCCCCATGGAGATAAGGTGACAAACCAACCTGACTGTCTTATTTAACATAATGACTAACTTTACACGTCACATGTAACTAAGATATGCAGCTTTTGCTGGATACATGGTTTTGAAACATCTATAACCAGCCTGCAATGATGACAGAAAAGCTTTTATAAACCACACCTACTAGTTGAGTTGGTCTGGCTACACGGGGGAGTTACCTCAAATTCAAACTTAGAACTGCCAAAATTAGTCCTCTGTTTCTGCCAAAAGTTGTCTGGCTTGATTATCAGCGCGACGTGGATGCAGCAGGGGAAGGACTCTTGTAAGATCTTCAGCAGCGGCTTGATGGAGTCCCACTTGGACCCGCGCATGTCCACAATCACCGTGAACCCTCGCTTGCAGACTTCTTCACTGGAGAGAAAGAAAAGGCAGGTTGACACCACGTCAGGGCTCGCCCCTGTGTCTGGTCGGAGGCGGCCCGGAGAGGCGGGCTCTGCCTCCGTCATCCTGCTGCTGGCGGGGCGGGTGCCTCCGCCCACTGCCTGGCCAGCCAGCGCTGGTACCCAGGGAGCCGCTGGATGCAGAATCTGTACCGAGAGCGCGTGGGTCTTAGCCGTGTCTCGCCCTCCCTGGTGCCTGAACGGAACAGACTAACTGTGCCCGCACAGGGTTCAGCCCCCAAAGTGTTCAAGTCTTCATGCTGTGTCCACAGCTTTTGCATCTTGTCTTCTCCTTAGGAGAAAGGCAGTGACACCACCCTGCCCACCTCTCTGGCCTCGTGTGCATTAACTGGGCACACACGCTGCCGAGGGAGGGTAAAGGGCCACTAGACAGGACAGAGTCAGACAGGGAGGGAACCCCGACAGCGCGTGCGGGGCCGGGCACAGCAGTCACCTAGGCCCCAGGGCAACGGGGAGCTGGGGTCACTCCCATCAGCGCGTGCGAGCTTTTCAATGTCCCAGTTTATTCCCTTTAACCTGCCTGGGACCCTGAGTTCCCTCGCAGCTTCTCAGGCGTGGTTCACCAGCCCCGGGGGACCCCCCCGTCTGGCAGGGTCTGGGGGTACACCTATTTTCATGGGGTTACTGTGTCTCATTTGTCTTTGTCAGCCGGCTGCACTGAGAGTGCACAGGCCACAGAGAACACGGTTGCCTCGTAGCAACAGGTCAAGGCAACACTAGAAGTCGCTGTAGTCTTCTCTCCAAGTTCGAGCTATTAAACAAAAGAGCTGGTTTCTATTAAGAATGTCCTCGATGATGACATAAAAATTATGAACTTTATTAAATCTCAACCTCTGAGGACACAAGAAATGTATATAGAGCTGCTGCTGCTGCTAAGTCACTTCAGTCCCCCATAGACAGCAGCCCACCAGGCTCCCCGTCCCTGGGATTCTCCAGGCAAAAACACTGGAGTGGGTTGCCATTTCCTTCTCCAGTGCATGAAAGTGAAAAGTGAAAGTGAAGTCTCTCAGTCGTGCCCGACTCTTAGCGACCCCATGGACTGCAGCCCACCAGGCTCCCCAGTCCATGGGATTTTCCAGGCAAGAGTACTGGAGTGGAGTGCCATCGCCTTCTCCGGTACATAAAGCATGTCTGCGATAAACAAGAAAACAAGGGCTTCCCCGGTGGCTCAATGGTCAAGAATCCACCGGCCAGTGCAGGAGACACAGGTTCAATTCCTGGTCAGGGAAGATCCCACGTGCTGCATAGCAACTAACCCACATGCCGCAACTACTGAGCCTGTGTTCCAGAGTCCGCGCTGCACAATAAGAGGCGCCACTGCCACAAGAAGCCCACACACCAAAATCAGAGAGTAGCTTTGGCTTGCCACAACTAGAGGAAAGCCCTGAAAACAATGGAGACCCAGCACAGCCATAAATAAATAGATAAAATTTTAAGTTAAAAAAAAATAGAAGAAACAAAAGTCAAAGTGTCCATAAAATGGGTTAAAACTCCATAGTTCCCCCCTCACATCATATACAAAAATTAAACTCAAAATAGTTTAAAGGACTGTAAGACATGACATCATAAAACTCCTAGAAAACAGGCAAAACATTCTCTGACATAAACTGCAGTACTTTCTTAGATCGATCTCCCAAGGAAAAAGAAACAAAAGCAAAGCTAAACAAATGAGACCTAAACCAACCTAAAAGCTTTTGCATAGCAAAGAAAACCATCAACAAACCAAAAAGACAACCTACAGAATGGGAGAAAATATTTACAAATCATGTGACTGACAGGGGTTCATATCCAAAATATACAAACAGCTCATACAACTCAGTATCAAAAAAACAAACAAGTTAATTTAAAAAAAAGGGCAGAAGACCTAAACAGACATCTCTCCAAAGATGACATACAGATAGCGGCCAACAGGCAGATGAAAAAATGCTCAATGCTGCTAATTATTAGAGAAATGCAATCAAAACTACAATGAGGTAGCACCTCACACCAGTCAGAATGGCCGTCATCAGAAAGTCTACAAACATGCTGGAGAGGGTGTGGAGCAAAGGGAGCCCTCCCACACCATTGGTGGTGATGCTGGGACCGCCACTACGGAAAAGAGTACAGAGGCGCCTCAAAAGCTAAAAAGGGAGTCACCATATGATCCAGCAACCCCACTCCAGGACAAACATACAGAGAAAAATGAAAACTCTGATTCAAAAATTAGGGGTGTACCCAAATGTTCATAACAGCACAATGAACAATAGCCAAGACATGGAAACAGCCCAGGTGACCATCAACAGAGCACTGGCTTATAAAGGTGTGGTATATATACACATACTCACAATGGAGTATTACTCAACCGCAAGAAACAAAGAAATACTGCCATTTGAAACGACACTGATGAACCAAGAGAATATCCTAAGTGAAGTCATATAAAGACAAATATCAAATGGTACCACTTAACATGTGGCATCTAAAAAATAAAACAAATGAATCTATATACAAAACAGAAACAGAATCACAGGCATAGAAAACAAGCTCACAGCAACCAAAGGAAAAAGGGAGATGGGCAGGGATAAATTAGGAGATGGGGACTAACAGATACAAACTACTATGCATAAAACAGATAAACTACAAGGGTTTACTGCGGAGCACAGGGAACTACACTCAGTATCTTGTAACAACCTACAATGGAAAATAACCTGAAAAACAAATATATATATATATACACACATATTATATATATGTATAGCTGAATAACCCTGCTGTACAACTAAAGCTAACACAAATATTGTAAGTCAACTATACTGAAAAAATTGTAATTAAAATTTTTTTTTCAATAAAGTGAGCCCACTGTAGACACCCAAAAAAAACAAAACCACCCATGATCTCAACTAAATTTCAGTCAATCTCCCGCTCCCTTGCATGCGCTCTTCTGCCTTCCTGCCCTCCCCACTCCCACACATACCATTTTTTCCCTCATCTGGACTCTCAGCATTAGAATAACTGACACTCCAGGTTCCTGCAACAATCACAGCAGTGCAAGAGGCCCATCACCAAAACATGCCCAGAAAGTCTGCGGTGACAGGACCTGGGCAGGTGACGGCTCACAGCCCCGGGAACACAGACTGCCCCAGCGGCGCCAGCTCCTCGCTCCAGCGTGGGGCGCGGTGAGGAGTGATCTGATTCGCGTCTGTATGACCATGAACTTAAAGAGAGGCCACCCTGCTCCTCACGGAATCGCTTTTCCTGTCTCAAGCAGGTCCCGGGCCAGGATCTGGGGAGTGTCTCAGCCTCCTTCATAAATCCTTAGAGGCAGCTGGCACTCCCAGAAATGTCTCCTGAAATCTCCCAAGTCACTGAAATGAAGTGGCCTGGCCTTCCTCGGACACTAATGGGGTCTGCTATCCGCAGGAGTCCATTCCGTAGAAACTTCTGGGCTCGGCAGGTCCTTGGGGCTCGACCGGCCTGAGAGGCAGGACATCCATGCCTGCTGCCCAGTGAGGACCGGGGCTCCAGACCCCGGAGGACATCCATGCCTGCTGCCCAGTGAGGACCGGGGCTCAGACTCTCAGGTCCCGCTGCTGCACACCAGAGACGCGCCCCAGAGATGGTCAGACTGCAGCACTGGGTTCGATGGTTGCGACCAGCTGCTGTTTAGGGCCTGGGCTTTATCGGTCTTCCCCTCATCGAGGTCAATTCTCTGGCAGCCTGTCTCTCTGTTCAGAGCCCTGTGCAGTGTGTACATAAAACTACAAAGCCGCTCCACTTGACAGGGGCTTAGAAGGAATCCTGAGTAACTCCAGGCTTAACAAAAGGAACGAGCTGGGGAGAGACACAAGCAAAAGGCGCCGTGAGCTTGCACGGTGTATGGAAGGCTTAACTAGTCACCTGCCTCCGAGATCCAACTCACAAGTTCCCACCAGGGACTCCAAGGAACGCGAGCAGCAGACCAGCCGGGCCGGGAGTGCCCAGGCTTCCCACCCATCTGTCTTTACAAGCTGAAAGTCAGGCATTAAGAAAGCAGTGATGTGCAAACATCCCCAAAGCCCGCCCTAACTTCTGAGCATCCAGTGAACAAGTACGGCTGCTACACAAGGGTTCTGGGCCATGCCTCCACCTCCAACACACTGCTCATCGGAAAGTGAAACTTATTAACCAAGGTATTTTATAGCAGTTTTACCTAAAAGCTTCACTTTAGCTGTGAGATTTTAAAAAATACACATAGATAAAACTAAAGTCCTTTTTCAATGCAGGTCTCTAGAAGAAAATCTTCTTTCTTCATTTCGTAGATGAAGAAGGTATCTTCTTATATGAATATTCATGAATGAATCAGCTCAGAGTTTCACATGATTTCACTGGTGACCAAAGAGTGATTTATCCATCTAGTTGCTATGTATATGTGCGTGCGCATGCTCAGCTGTGTCTGACTCTTTGTGACCCCATGGACTGTAGTCCACCAGGTTCCACTGCCCATGGAATTTCCCAGGCAAGAATACTGGAGCAGGTTGCCATTTCCTCCTTCAGGGGATCTGCCCGACCCAGGGATTGAACCCATGTCTCCTGTATCTCCTGCATTTGGCAAGTGAACTCTTTATCACTCAGCCACTTGGGAAACCCTAGCTACTATAAATCATTCTAAAGAAGACAAAACATTCTAGTTAGCATACTTCATGTGTTAAGAGCAACAAACAACTAGAGATATACCAAGATTAATGTGACTTCATCTCTGTGTCTCTTTGTGACCCCATGGACTGTAGTCCACCAGGTTCCACTGCCCATGGAATTTCCCAGGCAAGAATACTGGAGCAGGTTGCCATTTCCTCCTTCAGGGGATCTGCCCAACCCAGGGATTGAACCCATGTCTCCTGTATCTCCTGCATTTGGCAAGTGAACTCTTTATCACTCAGCCACTTGGGAAACCCTAGCTACTATAAATCATTCTAAAGAAGACAAAACATTCTAGTTAGCATACTTCATGTGTTAAGAGCAACAAACAACTAGAGATATACCAAGATTAATGTGACTTCATCTCTGTGTGGGAGTCCCACGTACGCCAGCAAGAAGTTCCACTCTGATTTCTCTCCTACTCATTTCATGGAAAAGTTTCCTCGCAAATTAATCATATGAAAGTCAGTCTACTACTCTCACTGTTTTGTTTCCTTAGAAAGGGCGAGGGGAAGGGAAGGTGTCCCAAATAACAATATTCAAAACTAGTCACTGCCGCTCAGATCACACTGATGTTTATCTCCGAGGCCACGTTCTAGCGGAAAGACAATCAGGAAGCCACGCAGAAAAAAACAGACAAGAAGATCTGGCTCTAGAACGCATGGCAAGAAGGAAAACAACGGAAAGCAAATCTGAAAGACGGACGTTACTGTACTACAGCTGAGGCAGCTAGCGTGGGCAGATACCAAGCCGGGCACTCGTGTACATAATCTTCCTTCACACGATGATCCAAGAAGTGCAGGTTACTATCACATAAATCAGAAAACCCATAAATGTAAGTCACCAGGCCAGCCTGTCTGACTCTGCCCACACACTTTTCCTGGACAGCACTCTCTCCACATCTGGGACTGTGTGGCCAAGGGGTAGCCAGAGGCTCCTTCGCTTCACAGAAAATGTGGGGAGGGGTGGATGGTGGTGGACTGAGACAGGAGTCCCACAGGGACCCCCCCTCCACTGTCCAGGACTGTTTATATCACTCTGCAACTAACAACAAATCATCAGACTCAGAAATTAACAACAAGCAAGCCGTAGGTAGGTCCCACCAAATTCTCACACCCTGAATCTTCTGATGATGATCACTGATCCCTTTGGCTAAAGCAGGAGTGCTCCCACCTCTGCAGGCCCCCTGGGGGCAGCGTGGCTCTTTTCCAGTCACTGGAGGACCTGAGTGGGCCTGGAGAGGAATCTCTTTACTGCCACTGCTCTTTGGACCACTGTGAAATCTTCCTCCGTTATTAGTGGATAAATGCATCATCTCTCTTACCTGCTCATTAAATGAGCCAAGAACAAGAAAATGGCATTTCCTATTGTCCAGAATTGTAAATACAGAGGCAAATCCAAGAAATGAAGTGAACTAACTGTGCTCAGGGGTTGGAGGGTCACATTAGAGAGAAACAAGAGGATGCTGGCGATATAGTCTATTTTCCGAGGAAAGCAGATGAGATGGGCAGAAAGTGACATTGTCGGAGCCGGTGGACAGGCCCAAGGGTGCCTGCTTCCCTCCAGTTCTGTTTACGCAATCCCAGGACAAAGTTTTGTGTCTCCGTTTAAAGTGGGTCATCAGGTGATCGACAATATACATGAATCAATTTTTCTATAACATCAATGAAAAAGGAAATTTTTTAATATTTACAATCAATACAGACTTCAAGAACAAAAAGCAAGCAAGTTGCCAAAGTTATATCCAGAATTACAACAATGTAACTGCTTTTAAAAGCTCACCTGGATGCAAGTCATGTTCCTTTAAACTTGTTCATTTAAGCTGTTCATTTAAACTCTAAGACAAGTATCATCTAGGGTGCAGGGATTTCCTTATTCTCCTGCACTGTCCTCTCTCTCTCTCTCTCTCTGTCGTCATTAGCACAGCACATGGCACACAGAACGAGCTCAGTAAGAGGTGGCCACAAACTATGCCACATTTATGTGACAGAGAAGTAAATAACTTCTAAGACTCTTTCCAACTCTATGACTTCAACAGTTCAAGGAAATACCAGGGTAAGACAAAGGGGGAAACGTTTTCCACGTTTTTAAGCCCATTAAGGGGCCCATTCATGTGTCATTCATGACGTGTGATAGCTTTCCCACAAAGGACACACAAGAACGCAAAGAAAAACCTAGGAGCTCCCTCTGAAGGTCAGACTGTCCAGACCAAAGCTGACTTGCCACAGCCACGGTGAGGAGGGGGCCACCAGAGGACAGGGCTGTCTCCCTGGCTGGTGCCAACCTAAGTGGGTCGGGGACGGTCACCAGTCCCCTGCAGTGGGCATGTTACATCTGCCTGCACCCCGAGGATCCACGAAGCAGTCTCGGATCAGGGCCCCCACTGCCTCTGCGCCACTGCTGCCTCGGGCACCACATCCTCACGTGCCAGCCCGGGGGGGCAGCCCACCCCACACCCAGGAGGGAAAGCATCGCGGAAGGGAAACAGGGAGCAAGAATGTGATTTCACCGTGGCAACGCTTGGCTGGGCCCCGGGCTCCGGGGGGCTGTTTTCCCGGGAGGGGCCCGATGGATGGCGAGCGGCCAGGCCCCCCGCACTCACCTGGGGATACAGGCCAGGTAGGAGATGAGCCTCCGGAGGTCCTCCTGCCGTATTCTGTCATGGTTGCTGCGGGCCGGGAAGGTAAGGATGGGACCCCCGCGCTTGTCTCTGCCACCTGCAAACAGACATGTGCACACGCTCAGACACCAGGCGGAGGATGCGGCTCCTGAGGCCCGCGGGCGGCCGGCATCGCCACCACTCAGGCCCGGGGCTGGGGCGGCCCGCCCAGCCCGAAGGACCTTCCAAAGGCCAGAGCCCCCGCTCCGCTGGGACCAGCGGCAAGGCCACCCGCTCGGGGAGGGTGTCCCAGAACCCTGTCTCCTTCCTTCAGCAGGTCTGTTCCCGCCCTTCTTTAGTTCTATGATTGGAGAGGAAAAAAAAGGTTTATGTACCCGTGCTTCCTTCACCCTAAAACTCACCTCCTCACACCTGTGTGTCTCCTCCCCCAGTGTCTGTGTCCCTGTCTCTCTCTGTGTCTCCATCTCTCTGTCTCTCTGTGTCTGTCTCTCTCTGTGTCTCCGTCTCTCTGTCTCTGTCTGTCTCTGTCTCTCTGTGTCTGTGTCTCTCTGTCTGTCTCTGTCTCTCTGTCTCTCTCTCTCCGTCTCTCTGTGTCTCTGTCTCTCCATCTCTCTGTTTCTCTGTGTCTCCGTCTCTCTGTGTCTGTCTGTCTGTCTGTCTGTCTGTCTGTGTCTGTCTGTTTGTTTGTCTCTTTGTCTCTCTCTCTCTGTCTCTGTCTCTCTCTCCCATACATTCTAAGCACTCTCTTTACTACCAACTAAACTGGGCTTTAAATCTCAACAGGAAAAGACAGGACTATTCATCAAACTTCTGTGTGGATGGCGACTTCACAGAAGCTGGGATCCCAGGTGCCCTCCCCTCTCAAGGGCAGTAGCTGACCCCTGTGGTCAAGCTGCCCCACTCTCTCCAAAAAGCCACACACAAAAAACAAAAGCGACAGACAGACAGAATGGCACAAAGAATTTTAAAGCAGAACAAAATTAGCTTAAGAACTTTATAAAGATTCATTACATATTAAGCACAACTCTCACGTGACAGGCCTTTGACAGAAAGGTAGAACTATTTCTCATTAATATATATATACCCTAAGGAAGTCTACGAGTGTATCTGAATATTTTTGATGGAACTACCACATTTATTTTATTATTTCTATCAAAGGTCTCAGAAAAAAACACAGAGAAAGAAAACTTTTGTTTTCCCAAGTATATACTTCATTTAATTTTATAGCTCGGTCATGTCTTTTCAGAAGTACAATACTGAGATTGCAAAATTCAAGCCACAATATGAAACTTATCATTATTTTCTCATCTTAATTATTTACCTTGTTCAGCAAAGGTAAATGAAAATGGAAACAAAACAAACAGGAGACCAGATTATTTACTTTAAGGATGCTGAAAACATATTCAGTATTTTAAAACACATTTTACCAACATGGGTCTTTACAATGTCCTAGGATGACTGGCAGGCTTCCCTGGAGGCTCAGCGGTGAAGAAAATCTGCCTGCAACGCAGGAGATGCAGGTTCGATCCCTGGGTCGGAAAGATCCCCTCTAAAGGGAATGGCAACCTGCTCTAGTATTCTTGCCTGGAGAATTCTATGGACAGAGGAACCTGACGGGCTACAGTTTATGGGGTCGCAAAAAGTTAGACACGAGTTCTTTCTAACAGTAATGACACTTAATGCTGATTCTGAACGCTTAAACTGACCTAGGTGTACTGTTAAGTCCTGCAGTCCAGAAGAGTGTTAAATTACTTATAAAACCAGTAACTCAGGTATTAAATGTGGTCAACAACTAAACCACAGCTGACACACGCTAGGTATGGCATCGAGCGCTCTGATCTGATAGTCAAAACGATCCTGTTTGTCTCCTCACGTCAGCTTGATCATGAAAGACACTGAGGCCCAATGAGCTTACAGTCAGTCCGAGGGGCCATGCCAGCATGTCACAGCTGGGCTCTCTGCCCTGATGAGAACTTGTATAATTGTTCAAACTAGTGGCTTCAGTTCTTCCTAAGTAATAAAAATATCAGAAAGAAAACTAGATGATGGGCTCCTGGGCCTTTTATGTGAATGAAAGTTACTCATAAGAGTGTGAAGTGGTACTGTTGTAAATGACAGAGGATCATTACTAAGTTATCTTCTAAAATACCAGATAGTATTTTGAGGGAAATATCACTGGCTCTAGTTTTTATTTTGGAATACCTCATGTCCCCAAGATAAGACAGGTAACAACTGCCAGTATTTATTTCCCAGTATCTTTCATTCTTTTCAAAAACGAATCAATCTCATTGATCAAAAATATTCTACATCAACATATATTACAGAAACTTGAGTTATAAAAAATATCTATTTGTATTAACACATTCACCCCACTTTTGGTAATCAGAACAGCATCACACATTGCTCAACACCACTCAGAATTGCTTTTAGGTGCAACATAATGTGTGGTTCATCAGGGAGACTAAATGCCCATGACCCCTGCTCGAATGGCCCCCCTCTGGGGGTCATCATATCTCTCAATGTGAGCAAGGTGGGCTCCAGCATGGCTATGAAAAAAAGTAGAATCCAGAATCTGCCTATCAAAGACAGTCACAGGGGAGTCAACTTGTGTGCACACGTTGCACACGGCCCTGCTGTTCACTCCAGGGGTGAGGACTGCAGGGGTGTACAGAGTGCTGGCCGCCCTTGCGGCCGCTCCACGGCCAACCAGAGACGCTCCTGAGCTGGGGGCGCCGAGGAGGAGGACCCGGAGACCTGCCGGCAAGCTCCTGAACAGGCTCTCATTCGTGCTGTAAAAAGAGCTTACCTAAACCTGAACTTGAATTTTAAGAGAGAGGGAAAAAAATCACTTTGTCTTTTTTCCCTTTCGCAGAAGAGTTTCAGTAAACTCACCATGATTATTTTCAAACTTCATCAAAAATCACTTATGAAGCAGAAAATGGCACCTGTGTACTTGGTTGTGTCCTGCTCTTTGCGACCGCACGGACTGTAGCCCACCCAGCTCCTGTCCATGGGGTTCTCCAGGCAGGAACACTGGAGTGGGCTGCCACCTCCTTCTCTAGGGGCTCTTCCCAACCCAGGACTGACCTGTGTCTCCTGCACTGGCAGGCAGATTCTACGCTCCACTGCACCTCCTAGAAAAAATGGCATATTCGTCACTAACTAATTTAATTACCTGCTTTCACTCGCATAGCTCCCTGTACGGAGGTGCATCTTCTGACCCGTGGTGGGTCACAGTCAGGGACAGGCAGGAGCCAATCATCCGAGGACCCCTCCCAATCGGGTTAAAATTTAAAATCTTAGAACCAATGAAATATACTAGCATTACTTCAGAAGAAGGTGGTCTCTGAACCTCAGAGATCTTAAAAACCAGCTCCACAGATGTCTGTTTATATTACATGTCCCAAGATTTAACTTGGTTGTCAATGTCACAGGAGGTACACAAATGAAAATACTGACCAGGTTAGGAAGCAGAAAAGCCACAGGCTCACAGTTCCTGTTTCTGAACTAATAAAAATAATGATATTATAGCTCATAAAAGCTCCATCTACTAGACATACTCTATGTGTCTGATGTCAACTCCCAGTCTCATGGTGAGGCGGGAGGGGCAGAGTCCCACTTTGGTGGTGGTGATGCTGGTTTAGTCCCTCGGTCGTGTCCGACTCTGTGTGACCCCATGGACTGTAGCCCACCAGGCTCCTCTGTCCACGGGATTTCCCAGGCAAGAATACTGGAGGGGATTGCCATTCCCTTCTCCAGGGGATCTTCCTGACCCGGGGATCGAACTCAAGCCTCCTACATTGCACGCAGGCTCTTTACCCCTGAGCCACCAGGGAAGCCCAAGTCCCACTTCACAGAAGGGAAACTCAGTGAAAAGAAAAGGGCAGGAAACCCATTTCCTGCTACCAACGTCTGTCTACTAGGCTGTCTACTAGGAGAGTTTTACCATCTCTGTACCTCTGTGTGTCTGGAACCAAAAGTCAACAGCTTGTTAAGGATTATCTGTCTATCCAAATGCTTGGTTAGTCCAAAAAAGACAAAAGAAGTGAAGTTTATGTTCATAATGACACTGAATTATTTTCATTTCTTATAAAAATTGCATCTGCTCTGCCATTCCTTCCTCACTGCTACATTTTATTTCGGTAAGGCCCCTATCACCTTCTAAATGATGTACTTTGCACATTCTTTCTGTCTGTCCCCAACTAGATCAGAAGCCCCTGTGTTCAATCACTGACATCTTATATCCTCTCAGTTCCTGGTAACAGACTGGTACACAGAGGGACTCAATAAACATTCAATGGAGAACAAATTCTTTTTTTAACATTCCAAACAAACAAAATTAACAGTACTTACTATCAGGTATCTGCAAGTTAAAAATGGAAAGGCCTGATGAACACTCCTACAGAAGCACAAAGGCTAAATGAACTGAGGTTGGTATTAATATCAGAAAGAAGGCAGGAAAGTTCCTACATAATGATAGCTATGAACATCAGCGTGACACCTCCTCTCCTAAACCCAGTGACACTCATTTTCCTCTTATAAAAGGTAACTTCAGGGAACTTGTGACCACAGAAGGAGCCAAATTCAGAGTCATCCTTTTTCTTTAAATGAATAAATAAAAAGTCACCTTTTACCCAAGTAGAATAAATTTTTTCTGTCTTTTTTGTTAATTGAAGTATAGCTGATAATACTGAGAACAAACTTCTTTTTTAAGAAGGCTTCTTATTTTGAGAAGTATAATGTAAATCTCAATGGACCGACTGTATTTTCCTCTGTGTGGCCCTCATCTGAATTTCTGGTTTCCGATACCACTGAAAATGGCTCTTTACTCCCCTCTGAGGAATAATAACTCACTAACCATGAAAAGCAAACTTTTCCAAAGGAAAGCTCTGAGAAAGTGTGGCTTGTGAAGAGAAATTACGGCTGCTATTTAGTCTGCTGTCAAAGCTGTCAGAAGGGTGTCCACCGGGCCCCTGCTCAAGGCCACCATGGGGCCAGCCCTGACCTTCACACGCCCACCGCGCGTACCTCGCTCCTGCTGAGTCTTGGGAACCAGAAACTTGCTTAAGACAGCCTTGAATGAAGGCTTTAAGGGGG